CAGAGAAAGAAAAATAACTGAATAATAAGAATAGCTAATACTTATATTAGTACTTTCTTTGTGCTAGACCCTATTCCCTAAAGTCCAGTAATGGCATTATTTCCTCTGTAGTCACAACAGTGTTATGTACTTCTACAGGTTGAACATTCCTAATCTGAAAATCCAAAATGCTCCAGAATCCGAAACTTTTTGAGTGCCAGCATGACACTCAAAGGAAATGTTCACTGGAGTATTTTGGATTCCATGTTTTCTGATTAGGGATGCTCACCCAGTGATTACAGTTGGCCTTCTGTATCCGTGAACTCCACATTCATGGATTCAACAAACTGTGGATCAAAAATAGCTTTGAGGGAAGGGTTGAGGATGGTTGCGTCTGCACTAAACTTGTACAGACTTTTTCTTCGTGTCATTTTCCCCTAAACTATACAATATGACAACTATTTACATTAGCGTTAACTTTGTGTGAGGTGTTGTAAGTAATTTAGAGATGATTTAAAGCAGTTGTCCACAACCTTTTTGGCACCAGGGACTGGGTTTCATGAAGACAGTTTTTCCATGGAGTGGGGTGGGGAATGGTTTAGGGATAATTCAAGCACATTACATTTATTGTGCAGGCAAACCTCTCGGCTAATGATAATCTGTATTTGCAGCCGCTCCACAGTGCTAGCATCACCACCTCAGCTCCACCTCAGATCATCAGGCATTAGAGTCTCATAAGGAGCGTGCAACCTTGAACCCTCGCATACCCAGTTTACAGTAGGGTTCGCACTCCTTTGAGAATCTAATGCCACTGCTGATATGACAGGAGTCATAGCTTATATGGTGATGCAAGCCATGTGGAGTGGCTATAAATACAGATGAAGCTTTGCTCGCTCGCCTGCTGCTTACCTCCAGGGGTTGGGGACCACAGATTTAAAGTATATGGGAAGAAGTGCATAGGTTATATGCAAATACATCATTTTATATAAGGAACTTGAACATCTGTAGTCTTTGGTGTCCAGGAACTAATCCCCCATGGATACCCACGGATGACTGTATAATGCAAACATTCTAAAATCCCCTGGAAATCTGAAATAGGAAACACTTCTGGTCCCAAGTGTTTTGGATAAGGGATACTCAATTTGTACTACTGTTACTAGTTTACTGCTAAAGAAACTGAAGCTTATGGTAACTAACTTACTTATCCCAAAAACATACAGTTAAGTAGTTGAGCTGGGATTTGAAGTTGGGCTGTCTGACTTCGAAGTTGTTTACTCATTAACTACAAAGTTTTCGCCTACAATAAAATGTAAGGAGTATCTGAGTAGGAAAGGATGAAATTGTTATTAGAAGCAAAACAGTCATTGGGCTGTCAGGGGCACATTCCCTGTCTTAGTATTCTCTCTTATAGCTCTTTTAATAAAAAGAAGTATTATAGTATTTCATCAGGATGCTTCTGAAATTCAAGTGGAAGAAGATTTATTTAAAACACATCTTCTACAATTACAAGAATTTTTGTTTTATTCTGCTTGAGTTTGAAAGAGAATAAGCAGAATAGGAAGACATTTTTGTATTGTACTACAGTTTGAGTTCAGTAAGGGAACCAGAGTCAAACCTAACTGAGACAGGTAACTGACAAGTGTTTTGGTAGTGTTTTCTTGGGCAAAATACAACCTAAGGTATTAGAATAGGAGGTTTATAAATACCTATTTAACATAGTTTTATGAGCTTTGGGCATATTGGTTATTCTGTATCCACTGGACCATAGTGAGATGTAGGAGGTGAAATCAAAAATTAAAATTGACAAAAATCAGAAAGTGTTGACTAATTGAATGGACGACCAGTCTCTCACACATACAGAGCCTTTTTTTGTTTTTGTTTTTTGTTTTGAGACAGAATCTCACTCTGTTGCCCAGGCTAGGGTGCCGTGGCATCAGCCTAGCTCTCAGCAACCTCAAACTCCTGGGCTCAAGCAATCCTTCTGCCTTAGCTTCCCGAGTATCTGGGACTGCAGGCATGTGCCACCAGGCCCAGCTAATTTTTTCTATATATTTTTAACTGTCCAAGTAATTTCTTTCTATTTTTAGTAGAGACAGAGTTTCGCTCTTGCTCAGACTGAATTCAAACTCCTGACCTTGAGCGATCCACCCGCCTAGGCCTCCCAGAGTGCTAGGATTACAGGCGTGAGCCACCACCACCAGCCTACAAAGACTCTTAAAATGCATTTCTCCCATGTTATACCAGCATCTCATTAAAAGTTAGGCAAACAGGAGATCCTGAAAAGTTTTTAGCAAAGCAAAAATATTAACTAAAATTTTTTCTTGTTTTCTTTAAAGTGATTTATGTAATCTGTATAATTTTTATAAAAATGCCACCTATTTATGATTTTAAAAATATTTGAATCAGAAAATATAAAGAAGGAAATTTAAAAATCACTCAGCATCACCTGTATTATAACCAAATATTATATAACCTGTAATAATATTTGGTGAACATTATTCCAGATAATATCATGCTCTCTCAAAAATAAAAATATTGCGCTTAATTTTGCTGAATTGAAAAAGAAAAATACCTGTCAGTGTGCTTCTTTCTGGATTAAAGTCTGTTCTCTCTTAACTGCTATACTGGGTCAGGGTGGGGAGCTAGTTGGTTCAGAGCTGCACTGAGCCACACCTGCCTTTTCTTGACCACCCTTTTACTGACTTTACAAGCATAACATTGTTCTCCTTTCTGTATGTGGTTACTGCTAATGAATATTTTTCCCATATTTTTTGTTTATTTTTGAGTATTAAAATCAAGGTAAAGAGGAACTGTTCCTGCTGCATTCTGTCTTTATCCATAATTCCTAGTATTTAAAGCTTAATAGTATGTTACTTATTGTCTCCATTTTAGAATGTGTAAAATATAAATCAGGGATATCTTGAAATGTTGCAAGGAACTATTAGTCTAAGACATTAGGTTTTTTCTTTTGCTCTTTAAGTATGTAGAAAATAGTAACAAGTTTTTGTTATTTTGCCTTTCACTTTCACAGATTTATATATTGATATTGTGTAAATCATTTATAGTAAAAGTAGCCAGCTGTGTGGCTTCCTAATTAGATAAGTTCCTTAAGAGCAATAGATATGCTACCTTATGTGTATCTCCCACAGTATAAAATAATTGTGTATTTTATGAATGATTCTTTGAATTTTTATAATATCTCCTTGGTGCTAGTCGTAAATGCTTGCACAGAAAATGAAAGTTTGGAAGAGACAAGGACTACTAAAAATGAATTTTTTTTTCTAGAGCTGATCCTTGCAAATTTTTGGAGTTTAGTAGCAATCTGGTGACTATGTATATGTTTCTAGGATGCTATTGCTGCCTTTTCAAATAGAAAATTCTGCATTTGTATAACATGAATGCTGTATTTCACTTAAACTTACTCAGTTTAAGTGAAAATACTTGTTTCATTGTCTGTATATTAGAGGAGAACTTCTAAAATTAATATGAAAATGGAGTGGGACAAGACAAATTAAATTGCATTTGAATTATTTTAATTCAAAAAAAGCAAAATTGTATATATGTTTTTAAGTCTTCTTTGAATTAGGTAATACTGAGAATGGGGCTAGGGAGATAACAATACCTAAAGGGTATGTGGTCAAAGCTAATACAGGAACCTATGTGGATAAAAAGAAGTAAGGAATATTTTAGACCAATAGAATTTTTTTCAAATTGTGTTCTAATTCTCTAGAGTAGTAAACCTGGAGGAGGGAAAGGCTAGTTTAGAATAAATACATCTGAAAAACAAGGTTGGTTGTATTGACTACAAAGAGAAAGCTTCAGCCATATTTCAGATTTCATTATGTAAAGTTTTCCCAGTATTTTAAAGCATTTTTACAAAAGGGCTCTGACTTAGACTAACTAAAAGCAAGTTTTAATTAGGAAGTAGAAATGTAAATGAATCAAAAGTTTAACATGTATTTCTGAAATTAAACTTAAAATTATATCCAATCTCATACTGGCATTAAGAAATTACTTTTTTAAGGTATGACAGTGTGGTAGTTTTTTCAGTCTTTCTGGAAATATGTATTCAATTATTTATTGATGAATGATAGGATGTCTTAGAATTCCTTCAGAATAGTCGAGAAAGTAGTAGGGGTATAGGTGAAATAGGATTAGCCAGATGTTCATTATTCATCTTTTGCTCTTGTGCTCTCTACCTTGTAGCATAAAAGATCTTTTTTATTCCTTTTATGTATTTATTTTTTATTTTAGGGGCAAGGTCTCCCTATGTTGCCCAGGCTGTTTTCCAACTCCTGGGCTCAAGTGATTCTCCTGAGTTAGCCTCGTGAGTAGCTGGAGTTACAGGTGTGAGCAACCACGCACAGTTTCTTTTTCATTCTTAATTCCCTTTTCACAGTATAATAAAACATATGGAAACAGACAAACTAATGAAGTCTATTGGAACAAAGTCTTATAGGTTAATTTTTCATGTGGCATTATGTTTTTACATGTGCTCTTAACTATTATTTAAGATGATATAACTGTTTTCTGTTAACCTAGCAAGTCCAAAAGGTAATCCTGATGTATAACAAAAAATGAAAACTACTGTATTACCCTGATAAAAGTGGTTCTGTTATATGGGAGAATAGTTTGTTAATGACAATGCAGTATTGACAAATTTATCTCCATGGTGTCTCTTTTTCCATGGTTTTATTATAATGAATTTTACTTTCTTGTTCTAGGCTGCTGAAAATATGACAAGCTGACTTTCTGGAGAAATTCTGATGAGATATGTCAAGCTCTGCAGGAGGATTTGAAGATTGCTTTGTAGTCAAGAATGTACAATGAAATTACTGCATGCATCAGTGTAGAAAAATTTTCCTTTTTATAAGAATTATAAAACCATAGCTTTATAAATCAGTGGAAAGTGGCTTACAGAGAGAACTATCAGATGTGTTTACATCACATCTTACTCACTTTTTTTTAACAGCTATAATGCTTTGGCATTGTTATGTTCATATTTATGTATTCCTTATTTATAGCTCTGATAGCTTTAATTTTCTAAGCAGTCTGTCTATCAGATGTGCACATCTGCTGTGCCTGGTTGAAGTATAGTGGAACCCATCAGTAGTGATGTGTGGTAGTTATGACTTGTTGACATTTCCATTATAAACTTTAATTTTGAATTGTTTATGCATAAAAACTGTGATTTATGTTGTATTGGGCTGAAAGTTGACAGGATTTCCACTACCATTTGTGAATTTTGATTTAAGTTCATTATTATATCAGAATCTTGTTTTTTAAAAAATAAGAGCATGGAAAACATTTCTAGTAATCTGCTCTTTAACAAAGAATATTTAGTTTTTTAAACAGTTTGTTGGGCAGTTAATGTGAACCAGATAATTTTTGTATTGATTGAAAAATAAAACTTTTAGAAACTTAGATTTTAAAGGAAATGACAGTGTTTAGCCTAGCATTACTTATAGTTTGAATCATTTAAATCTAATGAAAATGTTAGTTGAGAATTTTTTTAAGTTTTTATACCCTATAAATGAAGACCTAAAAAATAATGTATAAAATGAAACATAGCCAACATGCAAAATTCCTGTTTACTTTTATTACATAAAAGTAATTTAAGTGCTTACCTGACAAATCTTGAGTGGTTATTTAATAAATCACTAGATAGGAGGTATGTTTCAACAGATATTTAGTATTTTCTGATGAAATAAGGATTTCTAGTCATTAAACAAAAACTAATCTAATGTTCTGTATCAGGAATTATAAGTATGGCTTTTTAAAATCAGTTTATGTGTCCTTTTTTTTACCCTTAAAGCTATAACTCATCAAAGTGATGATATAAAATAAAATTTTAATATATTGATTCTGTTCCTATAACAGAATCTCAGTGAAATTTTTTTGGCAAGACTTCAGGATTTAATATGATTTTATTGTTTCTTAAATTTTAGATTTTGTTAGATACCATTTAAATGATAATACAAGCATTTGCTCTTTAGTAGCATTTTTTGTTTTTCAGACAAACTGAAATGGTTTTAATAAGACTTAGTGATATTGGTGTAGAACCTTCTGTGCTATTTTTAAAATGTAGGACTTTGACCATTTTGACTTTTTAAATGAATGACATTTTTGCCAAGTGCACTGCAAGGTCTATTATTGGCAGAACAGGTTTGGAGACACCAAGAACTTATGATAAGTCATTTGATAATAAACACTGCAAATACAGCATGTTGTTATTTATAAAATGTTAAAGAGAACACTTTTGTTAACCTTCAAAATTTGTATATGCTTTTAGGCCATAAGAGTTGATAGTTTTATTTATGAGTTTGTAGATTAAGTTATTTATCTATGAAACAAAACAGGAAAATATATTAAGAAGGGATTATGTTTACAGAAGATGTTTCTTTAATGTGTCACATTTCTTAAATGTAAACATATTTTTAATGCATACTTAAGTAATATTTAAGAAACCAAACAAAATAATGATACAATTGCAGTGTTGTGCTTGTTGTCAGTGACAATAATAAAACCATTTTGGTGGTATTGGCATGTACTTTTGATTTAATATGTGCTTCTGTTAATTCAACTTGTGTTTCTGTAGGTAGTCCATAAATATTTAGATGCTTATTATGTATGATTCAGAACTATTTAAAGGTAGATTTTGTAATTTAAACTAGGCTCCAGGTGTAAAATGGAATACTTTTCCCCTGGTAGTGAAAAGGAGATAGCTATATTAACATTGCCCTAGGCTTTAAAACAAAGTTGGCAATTTAAAATAAGTGTGAGATTATATTTGTCTATACTTAAAATAAGAGTTTCTTTACATAGTGGAACATTATGAAATTTAATACATGTTCCAAACATACTTAAAAGTTTTCCAATATTTGAAACATCAGTTTTTAAACATTTAATTAAACATTTAGTTCCTCAGTCTCACTATTTTTTATTGTAGTAAAAGATACATAAAATTTACCATTTCAACTATGTATAAGTCATGCAATTCAGTCACACTAAGAATATTTATATTGTTTTGCAACTATCACCAGTATCTATCTCTAGAACTTTCTCATCCTCCCAGACTGAAACTCTGCACCTATTAAGCAGTAACTCTCTATTCCTTCCTCCTCCCAGCACCAGTAAACATTTTCTACTTTCTATTCTATCTATGAACTTAACTATTCTAGGTAATCATATAACTGGAATCATACAATATTTGTCCTTTTGTGTCTGTCTTATTTCACACAGCATAATGTCTTCAAGATTCATCCAAGTAGCATGTATCAGACTTTTCTTCCTTTTTAAGGCTAATATCCATTGTATGTACATGCCACATTTTGCTTTTTCATCAGTGGACATTTGGATGGTTTCTACCTTTTGGATATTGTGAGTAGTGTTATGAATATTAGTAAGCAAATGTCTGTTCAAGTTTCTGCTTTTAATTCTTTTAAGTATATATCCAAAAGTGGAATTGCCAGATTATGAACATGTATAAAAAATCTTGTGTTAATTCTGTGGGCATTAGAGAAAGGAGGAGACATGATCAAGCTGTAATGGGAAGTGCTTTGCTAGTGCAGTGTAGGTCGGATTAGAGCAGGGAGAGACTAGAAGCAGAGACTAGTTAGGATGCTATGACAGTAACCCTAAAAGTGCTCAAATCAGGGTAGATTCAAAGGACGTTACATAAGAAAAACACAGGGGACTTAATGACATTATGGGGAAAATAAGAAACTACAGTCACTTGAGTTTCTAAACCTGGGTAACAGAATGATTATCGGCAAATGTAAATCAAGAAGACAATCTAATTTTCCTGGAAAAATGAAATTTATTTTAGGAATATTGTATTTAATATATTTTAAATCTCACCCTTGCCACTCCTCCAAAGACCCTTACCCACTTCTGTCTTTTGTCCTACAGCATTTATTGCTCTTTAATGTATAATTTACTTAATATATTTATTGATTATAAATAAATACACCTCTACCTGAAAAACTCCACAAGGGTAGGAATTTTTCTTGGTTTTGTTCATTGATGTGTATCAAATGTCTTGAACAGTGCATAGCACGTATTAATAAGTGCTCAATAAATGCATGTTGGCTGAATGAATGGATAGACTTGGACAATATCTACCATGTGGTTGAAAAAAAACCTTAAGAACTTGCTACATGCAAAGTACTAGTTTGGGTGTTTTAAATATATCAAATTGTTTAATCCTTAGGCTTAGAGCAACCACAGGAGATAAATAGCACCATCCCTTTGCAGATATTGCTGATGATGGTGGGCTGGTGAATTTATGTGGCATCTCAACAGATCTATATTACTGCCTTTTAATCAGGACAATATAAAGAAATAACAGGTTAAAAGCATTCACTTTCTAGACTGTGCTATATTTGGGGATCCCAGTTCTAACAAAAAAAGATACCTCTTTTTATGAAATTCTGTGTTGGGCTTGTATATACTGCATTGAAGTATTTTAAGTGTTGTAAAAACATGGTGCATCTGACAGCCCTAGCAGGAAGTGTATCTGTTAACAACTCTTTGTCCATGAGAATAGAACAGAGCACTGAGGTATCTTGTGGATCCCAGTAGCTGAGTGGAAGTGCAGGCATGTTATAGTGGAAGTGGTCCACATTATCACCTCTAATTACTGAAAGCAATAAATCACCAGGTGCACACTTGGAGAGTCACATCAAAAAAAAAAAAAGCCTTTAGAGGAGTTGTTCTGATTATTACACTTCCCACACATATTGGAAAACTGTTTCACCTTAGAGGCAAGTCTACCTACTTACCTATGAACAAATAGTTTTTTTATTGTAACAGCTATGGCTTATGCTTGAATTTGCTGACTGCTATCCCTTGAAATATCTAAATAAACTAATGCAAATTTTATTTGAAAACATCTACTGATTTAATCTGAATACCCAGGAAAAAATACCACCCACTTCAATGTCACACTATTCAGCAAGAAGAAAACGGGAACTATGTGGCTGCTCTGAAAGGAAATGAGACTTTCTAGTTCCTTAATTCTAGTCTGTATTTGTTAATCAAAAGATGTCTGATGAACCTCCAGGAAAAACAAGAACAGTGGAAACTGACTTACTTGTGAGGAGATCACTGTTATGCTTTAAAAGGTAAATGATCATATTTCATCAATTTAGGAAACTTGTTCATGGACACTTAACTACATCTCTGTAGATCTCAGTTTCTTCAATTGTATTGTGTGAGTTTGCACCTAGAATCTCCAGATCTATGCCTCCAATGTTCACATTTTTTATAGCATCTTCATATTTGTTTTTTTTAACCAGCTCTGTATAGTACTGAACTATTATTTATAAATATTTTTCTTTAGGCTCGCTTTTTAAAAATATGAATACATATTTTTTGAAAATTTAAATTTACATGAGTACTTAAATGGATGACAAGCATCATTTACCATAGCTTTAAAAATAATTACAATGAAAATTAAATATGGAATATATTTCCTAGGTCACCAGGAACTGTTTTCATGGAAGACAATTTTTCCATGGATGGGGGATGGAGCGGGGGGATAGTTTCAGAATGACTGAAGCACATTACATTTATTGTGCACTTTACTTCTATTATTACATTGTAATATAAAATGAAATAATTATACAGCTCATCCCAAAATAATAGTTTTTCATGTAGTTAAATTGAATCCAAATGAACATTTTTTTGGAATTGATGAAAAAAATTTTTAAGTTCCCCAAGAGAATAATAGGATTTTAAATAAATCGAGAAATGGTAGTAAAGAATCTTCTATCTACTACATGCCAATATCAAAATTAAGTATAAATTGTGGATAACCTCAAGGTAGACATGCAGAAATCCGTGTAGGCATATGAGAGATTTAGCTGTGTGATAAGGGTGGCCGATCCGTTAGGATAGTCATTCAAAGCTTGTATTGTGGGTAAGCTGGCTATTGGGCTTATTGGGGCCAACTGGGAGGAAAGTGAGATGCTATCTTTCATCCAAACTAAGATAGTTAACATACTTGAAATATTTATTAAGGGGAGGGAATAAAGTTTCAAGTGCTTAGAAGAGATACATGTGATAATATTTGTATAGGGATAATCTTCTATCAATTATGTCCATAATGCAGGGAAAATGATTATAGGAACACAACAGATAACATGTACAGTTGACTTAAAAAAATTCTGACACTCTGGCAGAAAAAGCAACTATAAAAATAGTTGAACCGAAACCAATGTATTTACATCTGAAATCGACTTTGGAAACCTAGTTGTTCTCTATGTTGTGCTTCTCTGTTAAAGATATGGATACTTCCCATAAATACAATAAAATGGCATATCAAAATCGGAAAGTTAGAACTACAAGCTTTCATTTTATTATAGAGCATTCAACAGACACACTGATAAGCCTGGTCAAGTTGTTAGAAAATATCGTTAAACCGTCTTAACACCTTAATATATATAAGCTTACATGTACAGGAGCACGGGTTCTAGAAAGTTTATCTTAATGAAATAAAATTAAGGTATGGTATCAGTTTTATATCACAATAGTTACCACTTTTATGCGGGAAACACATGAGCACAACCTCACTCTTTTTTTTTTGTTTGGTTTTGGGTTATTTTTGAGACAGTGATGTCTTGCTCTGTCATCTAGTCTCAGCCATAACCCCGAATTCCTGGGTTCAAGCAATCCTCCTGCCTCTCCCCAGTAACTACTGTGTTTTCCCCGAAAATAAGACCTACCCATAAAATAAACCCCTAGCAGGATTTCTAAGCATCTTGCCAATATAAGCCCTACCTAGGAAATAAGACCTAGTGATGAGTGTGGCTACACAGTGTATCTGCACTACCCATGCATTTTGCGCGAGCAGTAAAGAAGACCAAGCAGCCCTTCTCATCTGCCCGGAGAGCCTTGTTGCTCCACTCGAGAGGACGGGCCATAGTCTGAAGGAAATAGAGTCGCAAAGAAATTCAGGATGGAATTCGGGGTTTGAGAGTCCATGATGAGGATCCAGAAGAAGAGGACTGTGAACTATTATTTGAAATAAATGTAGATTGTTGTACTGTACTTAAGAAAAATAACACATCCCCTGAAAATAAGCCCTAGGGTGTCTTCTTGAGGAAAAATAATAATAAGACCCTGTCTTATTTCATGGAAACACGGTAAGACTAAAGGTGCATGCCACCACCGGCCCAGCTAATTTTTCTTATTTTTGTAGAGACGAGGTCTCCTCTGTTAGAGATGAGACCCGAAGGGTCTCGAACTCCTGGCCTCAAGTGATCCTCTTGCCTAGGCCTCCCAAAAGTTGGGGATCAGAGGGTGGAGCCACCATGCACCAGCTGTAACTCTTACAATAGTAGAGTATTACATAAAGGATGGTGTGTCCATAAAATGGAACTTTATGCAACTAATTGTATTGTAAACCAATACTAAAAAAATAGGAAAGTGTTTAGGATAATCCTGATTGTGATGGATAAATTATTAGATATTAAATGAATGGTAAAATATGCACTAAGATATAAAAGGCAGTTATGTGAAGGGAGGTTGTAAGTTTAAAGTTTCTGAATCTAAGTAAAGGCTAGACAGTATTACATGCTGATTGCCAATTCCTGGAATGCTATGCCAATTCCTTGTTATTGGTAGTAATATATAAATTAAAAACAAAAGTACTATGTGTATATTTTTAAATGCTGTAAGCTTTTTTTTTTAAGTTTTCTTTATCTTTTTTCAGTTCTGCTTGAGATTTCCAGAATTTTGAATACTGGCTTAGATATGGAAACTTTGTCTATTTGTGTACGGCTTTGTGAACAAGGAATTAACCCAGAAGCTTTATCATCGGTTATTAAGGAGCTTCGCAAGGCTACTGAAGC